GGCAAACAAATATTTTAAGAGCCCGGGCGCTTATTCGCGCGAGTACGTTACAGTACGTGATAGTAATACGTACCATGATAAGGCATGACATTCCAAAAACCAGTGGAGGTCGCTAAAAGGTATAGGTAATTTCACTGTTCCTCCCAGGTATTACTTTCATAATCAGAAGAAGTGTTTTTGAATTTATTTTAATTATATACCGTATGTGCGTTCATTAATTGCTACGTCATACAGATATGCTAATACTGTACAGTGTTTCACAAATTGCAGGATATTGTATAATTTAATGTGATGTTTGAATTTGAGTAACAGTATATTGACAGTAGTAATTTGACCGGTTCCAGATGGTAAATGACCCCATCATTTCAAAGCTTTACAATGTGGGTATTAAATATGAATAGGGCCTATATTTAAAAAATTCCTGGGTTATTGATGCTGATTTTGAGATAAGCGCCCCTACGAATTTATGATCTGGAGGACAAGCCCGTAGTCAAAATTTTTAAAGAGAGAGGGGTGGGGGTTTCTAATTTTTCTCTAAAGGGAAGTTTGAGTCATTGCTCACCTAAGCCTCATCATGTTAGGGACGTTTTTAAGGATATAACATCTCAGGTGCCCAGAAAAAATTCAAATGTAGTTACTGTAGGAATGATTCCAACAACTTCCATGCAAATATTTTTTTTAACAATTAAAAGGGCATTTTTGGGAAAGGGTCCGCCGGGGTTCATTTTGGGGATTACAGACTAATACAGAGTTATATATAACTTTATTTCATCTCGAAAATAAAAGCACAAAAAGTACAAATAAACTTGTTCGAATAAAACAATCGTTCTTCCACAAGATCGAGAAAAATTAGGCCCTACATATAAAACATTTAAAATATCAAAGCATTAAACAATTCAAATTACAAAACAGTAAAATACACTACATTAGGTTGAAAATCATTTACTATTTACTAATAAATCATTTATTGTTATTAAATTATAATTATATTATTATTGTAATTGTAATAATTATTATATTTAATGTTTTATTATATATATATATTTAATCATTTGTATAATGTTATTTTGGAAAGTGCGATATGGAATTTTTAAAATTTCACTTTTGTCAAAATTGTAAGCATTCCAATATCTTTCACCTCGATATGAAATGCTAAGTTTTTTTTAAACTTGTGTTTGGTTTAGGAATAAATAAATTTGTTGCACTATGCTGGAAATTGTAATTAAAAGTATTTGTTTTGAATATAGGCCTATTATTTTGTAAAGTGGGCGACTGTTTCAACAGAATCTTGTAAATCATTAATAAACGTTCATATTCATCACGTTGAGATAAAGAGAGCCAATTTGCTTCTTTAAGGGCTATATTCCTTGGTGTGTCTCAATTTAGGTTACACCTAAAAGTAAGCCTCCCTTTTCCCATACATGAACTTATTCAAACACACAATTGATCCACATGCTTTAACTACTGTTTATTTGCACTGTTTATAACACATGTAAAGTTATTTCATTTGATACCTAACAAAAGTGAATTTTATGGTTATCTATGAGTTGCATATTTTGGTAGTTGAAGTACTGTATGTATGTCATTCCTCTACTTTGTTAGTAGAATAACGTTTTAAAAAATTATTTCAACTATCAAAAAATGTTCAATGGCCGTTGTTTTCTGATAATCTCTCAGTACATTATTTGCATCTGTTGTGTAACTGTATTTGTTATTGATTAAATTCTTGCTTATTACAGTATTTAAAGATTTGAAGATTTAAAAAAATCATTTCTATTACTAAATTTTTTCATTTGGGCCATTTTTACCTACTTGTCATTTGGGGCCATTTTTACTGGGGCCATTTTGACCTTTGCCATTTTTTTCGTCGCCATTTTTTCCAGGGCCATTCTTACCTACATTCGGCCCTGCCGCGTGTCGTGATTGTCGCGCACAGTCTGGTGGAAGGTAACCGCAGTCAGAACAATTAATACGAAATGAGGTTTGCCCCACCTGATGTATTATAAGTACTGAATGCTCAGTACATTTCCAAATACTTGCGAAAAAAACTCTCGCAAGTGATTCGGTTGGTTGGTAACTAGCCTGATGTCAGGCCTAGATATATAGATTATGATTTAATTTGTTTAATCAAATATACTTTTATATCAGAATATTAAAATATATGTATTTGTACATTCCATACTTTTCAATTCATGTATTTTTAAAAATAAATATGACTCGAAGTTAGTAGTGACATGAAGCTGAAGTAGGTGAACGCACTTGAACACCTTCACTGCCACTGCAATGACCTGCTAAAAATAGCTTCATCTATATTTAGCATCTGACCTTCTTCTATCTTTGCAGTGTAATCATAGGCGTAGATCCCGGGGGAGGGGGTAGGGATATATCCCCCCAATATTTGACAAGGGGGACAATGGATTGTCCATTGTATCATCCCCCCCCCCCAATATTTTGACTATGTATGGGATAAAATGGAGCTTTACACACTTCAAAAGACTGTCACAGAAATAATTTGCACTGTCTTATGCGCTTACAAAGATGAAATTAGCATAATGTATTAATGTTGATCACAAAATTATTTTATCTGGTACCAATCTAAACTCTTCTTTCCTTAGATGTTAGATGTGCTTGCAAAGAGAGCCACATTTCACACTGAAGGATGTGTACTACGACAGTAATGTTATGTCAATTCCAAGAATGTTTAAGGTTATATCGGTTGATGAGGAATTTATTGATTATGCCTATAATAGCAAATTGCATCAATTTATTTTGCAAAAACAAGGTTTCCAGCTTCAGAGGGGCGCACATCCCCTGTCCGCACAATGGCACACATTGGCGCTAACACCAGGCGCGTAACAGGGGTCTTGGGTCAGAGTGGGTATTTATTTTCCCGGTTAGTAATTTACCATGCCCACCCCACCCCACCCCCCATATAGAAAACAATACGACATAGGGCTTATCTTATTTATAATATAGGCCACACACGTGTGTTTGAAACTAAATACAGTATAAGCATTTTTATCGTGGTTTTATTTATTACAAACTTATTCTTTCACCATCAATACACATTGCGGTCCTTCTTTTAGGTTAAAACGATCTATCTTAAATTTGTCTTTCTTGAGTTTGGGATTATTATGTGTTTAAATAACTTAAAAGGATAAACCTAAAAAAGCCCTAAAAAATGCGCGCGAAGCGGGCAAAATATTTTTGTGTTTTTAATTCTAATTTCGTCGGAATTGATGAAAACTCCCTGAAAAGTGCAATTTATAGAGGAAATTGGCCTACCGTAACAAGAAATGCGCGCAAAGAATTTGAGAATTTTAGGCACTTTCAGAGGATGCATTGTCAAGGGGTGGGGAAAGATTTTCCAAAGATGGATATTTTCACCTTGTCCCCCGGTGTTTTAATTCTAATTTCGTTGGAATTGATCAAAACTCCCTAAAATGTGCAATTTTTTAGAGGAAATTGGCCCATGTTAACAAGAAATGCGCGCGAAGCACGCGAAATTTGAAGTTTTTAGGCACTTTCAGGGGATAAAAAGGGCATTTATAAAGGGGTGGGGAAGATTTTTCAAAGATAGATATTTTCCCCTTGTCCCCCAGTGGTTATATTACGCCATCGGGCAGCATAGATCAAAGGAGTTATGACCGTTTTTGAAGTGGAAAAGGGGTTGCAGGGTGTTGTGTCTTTTCATTATGATATCTTCTTCCTTTATATTATTGTCTTTATTTTTCTCTTCTCTTTTTCTTTATTTTTCTTTTCCTCTTCTTTCTCTTTCCCTCCCTCTCCCCTCTTTCTTTTCTCTTATTACCCAGCCCGGTACGACGGCTTGGTCAGCCCGGTAAAAACCGTCAG